TCGCGCTTTTTTTTTTTTTTTTGCTGAAAACTGGATTAGATGTGACATTGCAAACATGTTAGCAATTAAATATGGTTTACATAAAAAATAAACTTTAAAGATGGTAAGTACTCAATTTGAGTAAAAGTAAATACGATTTTAATGGAAAAACCAAAATATAACCTAGACTTGAAGAAAACGATCATTAGATTACATCATCAAAGAGTACTTTTTTTTCTTGCAATATTTGATCAATAAATCGGTAATTTTCATGTCATGTCTTCTCGAGGCTGCACAATTAATTTTCAGTTGATTCTTAGGTTTGCGAGAAAGTTCAATGCTCAATTCGGCTCAATATATATGTTGCGCACTATAGTCTATCATAGCTTTCACAAAGCTCAATGATCCTAGCTATTATATTATACTAAAGATTATCGTTAGCATTTTGAATGATATATATCGCCAGTAACGCAGCTTCCAAGCTCGTAAGAAGCAATCCACAATTGCGAGTCAATCATTAGTGTCCAAACAATCCTCTCTTTGTTATTATAGCTTTTCTCCCCAAACATATTAAGTACTTCCGGTTTCCTCTTTTTTCTTTTTCCCCCCTTTTCTTTTTTTTTCCCCCAGTGAAAATAAAAATGATATAAACAAGAAGATCTGCAGATATTGAACTTTCCGCGTTATAATAGTCCTGATGCGGCGTCCTTCATGAAGTCCATAATAAAGCTTGAAAAGGAATAAAGCCCTGAATCGCACGGCTCCTCTTTCCACCCGTCCCTTTCACAAAATTGGTGAGAGATGTGAGAACCAAAGGGAAGAATCCAGCTTTGTCTTTATTGGCTTCAACTAAATTTTCTCTCATGTCACCTGCGATTAAACTAAATTAGTCGTGCTTAGGTTCCCCGGTTAGCTGGCAAATTTAGGTGCTGATTGATTGAATATGGATCTAAAGTACTATACCTGAACCTGGCTGATTAGCTGGATTCAGTTTTCCTTCTTGCCTAAATTTCAAGAAAAATCCCCTCAACCTGGGACAATTGTCAGATACCCCCCTAACTTTCAAAATATCGGACAACCATTGAGTTTTTACTTCGTTTGGATACCAGGATGTTTTTCTTGTTGTGTAACTTATGTTTTTGTAAAAAAAAACATCATGGTGTTGTGGTTTTTCTTTAAAATATTTTTAAAACATCATGTTAAGTATTTTTGGTCAACACTAATTTGACCCATTATAAAATTAGCATTAAACATATTATTAAATTATTATATATTAATTATTATAATAAAATATATTGTAAATAAAATGTTATAATACTTAGTTTACATTATTATAGTATTATAAGTCTTAAATGTAATGCAATATAATATTGTATAATGTATTATAATATTATATTGTATTTTAATGAGTTATATTATATTATAAATATTACATATTATTTTTAAATAATTATATATTTAATTATTTTGGTATATCAATTTGTTATTGTTATATATTATATTAATATTTTTATAATAATATTATTTTATTATTAATATAATATTATACTAAAATTATTTTACTTTATAATAAATTATATTATTTATTACATAATATATTAATATTTTATATATTATATTACATTTACTATACAATATGTTATTATAATAATATGATTATATTGTTATGTTATTATTAAATATGTTACTATTATATAATATTTTATAATTATTAATTTATTATAATTTATTTATTAAAAAGTTAATAATATTATAGCAATTATACTATTGTATAGTATATTATTATTTATTATCAATAACTTTTTTATTATTTTTTATTAGTTTATTTATATATTATTATTTATTTATTTATTATATACTACATTATTAACATATTAAATATTGGTACTTAATATGTTATTATATTATTATATAAGATATTTTATTTATTGTATTTTTATATTATTTAATAAATATTACTAATATATTAAATTAACTATAATATAGTATAATATAATAAGCATGTCGATAGTAACTCTATATTAATTACATTTAATATATTATGTTAGATATTATATTAAGACATTCTCAAACTCAAAATCAAAACACCAAACTTACAACACCTAAAAGATGTTTTGAAGTAAGTGTTGTGTTTTTGTTTTGAGAATGATTTAGCTCAAAAAAACAGTATGGTTTCTAAACGCATGGTGTTTTATTTTTGATAAAAACACCATGGAAACAAATAAAATACCATGATATCCAAACAGAGCCTAAGTTTATGGGTTATTAAAAAAAACTCTATTCAAATTTCAACATTTAAAAAAAAAACTCCCTAAATTCGTGAAG